ACAACACTATGTTGTATACTATACAGTATAATATACATATATGTATATTATTACATATATGCAATATTGTGTACTATACACAACACTATATTATGTACTATACAGTGTAATATACATATATGTAATATTGTGTACTATACAGTATAATATACATACATATCATGTATACATATATACATACATATGTATCATGCATACATATACATATATACATGTAAATATCTTTTTGCGTAGCTTACATTACAATTGGTTATTAATAGAGAGAATGATCCATTGACGAACAGTAGTTTGAAAACTGTTAACAAATTAGATAATGAAGAATTAAATGAAATATTTGGACATCAAAATTTGTATCTGTTTAAACAATTAATAATAATAATAATAGATTTGTATTTACTTTTTTCTATTTTTTGCTTTTCAATGATCGATCAATGTACAATTTGAATAGCAAACATAATATTGAACTCTAATTTGTCAATTGATCACCCACTGTATATATTATTAATCTTTTTGTTTTCCTTTTTATTTTCAGATTAATATAGAATTAACAGAGATCTTTGATAATCTTCGTTGTTAATGAAATATTGTTTCCAATGTGTGTTTTTGTTTGTTTGTTTTTCATATCATATTTATATATATATATATATAGAAATAATTTAATTTACATTATAGTTTTATTTGTTTTTATATATATATATATATATATATATATATATATATATATANTATATATATATATATATATATATATATATATATATATATATCGTCACATAATTAAATAAAATGTTTTATTATTATTATATACAAGTTTTGTAAGAGGAATTGGTAAAAGTTTCTATTAGTGAAAAATATAACATGTAGGCACGGCATGTGGGATAGATCGAAGTATACAACAGATCAAGCTTATTTTTAATCATGTGGCGGTGTTTTTTTTTTTTTTTTTTCATACATCGTATAACAGACGGTTTACCAATGTTTTCTTTTTTTTCTTTTTTTTTTTTACGACATTATTATTATTATTATAACAAAATTATATACCATGGGGATAATATTTATTTATTTTTTTGTTTTTGTTTCTTTTCCAGGACATACAAATATGTCGTTTATGATTAAAAATCAAAACCAGACTGCTCTGTCTCATTGTTTCTGTTTTTTTCTTGTAAATTTTATCATTTAAACAAAAAAAGAAAAAACAAAAAAAACAAAAAAATCATTTTATTCGTCGTAAATGCAGAATGGTATGAAAAAGGGTAAAGATCAATAAAAATGAAATATTTATTGCGTAATTATTATTTTCTTTTTTTTTCCTTTTTTTTTTTTTTTTTTTTTTTTTTTTTTTTTTTAATATAAAACGAATCATATATTGTATGTATAAGTTATATTATGTATATACAATAATTGAAACCTTCCTTTAAAAAGCCACATTTTGAGAAAGAGAACAAAATTAATGCGTTTGTAGTAGTAGTAGTAGTAAAAAAAAAAAAAAATGATTACATCGCATTCTCTTTTAAAAATGGAACGAGAATATCATCGTAATTATAATAATAATAATAATTATTATTATTATTATACATGATTTAATACGATGCCTTGATTCGTTTTCGTTATTTTAGGAGGGCGGAAGGTGGGCTGTTTTTTTTTTGTCTCGTTTATACAAAGCACAAACAATATTTTTTATTTTGATATAAAAAAAAAAATTCTTTAAATGAACTTGAAACGAATCATTTGTAACTCTCTATGCGTAACATGGAAGTTATATATGTATATATATAACTATTTATATATATATATATATATATACACATGACTAAATGGTATCTCAACTTGCGCACTATTCTGCTCATTTTATGTTTCTTTTATAAGGTGGGTTTCAATTATTAAATGTAACAGAAGAGAAGAAAATGTTAATATCTTTCAACATTTTCAAACAGCATCGTCTCCAGGAGTTGATGCAGCAGCAGCAGCAGCGGCAGCAGAATTTCTCTGATTTTCAATTTGTGTCCTATTTTGCGAACTGGCAGCTGCAGCAGCAACAGCCACTTTATGCTGAGCGGCTAAACATTGTTGCAATTGTTGCAATTGTACGGGCTTTACCACCGTTCTCTGTAACTGTACAAATTTATATCATATCATTAATAATAAAACGTGTCTTTTACGAATTATTACAAACAATTATCTTAATAAAAAAGATCAATTCCGTATACGTATACGTACTTGCTGTTGAGATAACGCAGCTAATCCAAGACTTTGCGTTTGTTGTTGGCTACATTGTCCCGTTGAAACTCTAGCGTGCAAAGATTTAGCGAGTAACGTTTGTTTGTTTGCAGGTACTATTTGGGAAGAAGGCGTTGTTTGAGACGCCATAAGCACAGGTTTGGTGGCTGCTATAACAATAAGATTTAACAAACAAAATCAAAATAGAAAGGATTATCAATTATTTATCTTTATTTTTGACTTACCCATTATAGGAGTTAACACTTGTTTATTGCCAGATAATATCAACTGACTTGCTGTTACCGTTTTAGCTACTGTTACTAATTGATTTGGTAAAACAGTCGATTTAACTTGACTCGGTTGTACTTGACGAGCCATATGATTAAGTCGAGGCCTTTGAGATCCAATAAGCTGAATTGCTTGCCCACCCTACAAATAGTGAATGAATTATAATAAGTACTAAGTACTGTTCAGATTTCTTATTGAAAAATGCAACGTTAATGTACAATTGATACATGCACTTGATAATTATCGATATGATTTTTCTAAAAACCATTGATAATTCAAACGATTATGGAATATTATACGATACCTGTGATATAGTCATTGTATTAGTGCTACGTATATTTTGTTGAGATAAACCTTTTACCCCTGACGGTATAATTTGGGCTGAAACAACACATATTATATACATATTTCAAGTTTGTGCTTTATAATAATTAATTATTATTATTATTTTTTTTTTTTTATTATAAATTCTAATTATTTTCTTTTCCTCTAATACTAATGAGCTGTATGAAATATGATTTATAAATAATTTATACCGATTGGCAATGATAAATGAGTATTAGCAGAATTCGCGATTACTACAGTCGGTGTACTTCCAGCGATGGCAGTCGTTACAACAGTAGCAGCAATCATCTGAAATTAATTGATTATTGATATTGAAAGATAAACATTTGATAATAAATATATATACATATATATATATATTATATATATCTATATATATATATACATGTATATTTGTATAAAAAATGTTAACTAACGCTGGAAACTGTAGTACAAGTATTAGTCGCAGATGATATAGGCAAAGATACAATGACACCTGTAGGTGTTACTGAACCTGTTGTTGCTGACACATTTAATGACATTGTGATGGGTTGTGATAAGCCGGGGAATGATACCTATTATAAGAAAAAAAAAAAAATAAAAAAAATAATTCATAGTAATACATATATTTGTTTTTACCTATAAATAATATAAGATGTTAATTAATACCTGAACATTTTGAAGTCCGTTAATTGAGTTAGGTAAACTGGTGAGATTAACACCTTGCAGATTAACATTGGCAGGCGGCGGACTAGTCATTGGACTTGCTGGTTGGGTACTTTGACTGGAAGAAGCAGTTATACGTTCAAGTAATGGCGAAGGAGAATTGAATCCAGGAATTGGATTATCAGCAGATGGTGTTCCTATATAATAATAGAAAATAATATATTATTTATTTATATATGTGCATGTGTCTGTTTATATAAATATATATACATACATACATATATACATTGAATGAATAAGAATTACTTTTCATACCAGCAAGCAAAGCTGAGAGTCCTGGCATCGATAAACCGAGAGTCGAAGTTGGATCTTGTACCCTAGCTAATCTCACAGCTGTTGCTTTTACTGGCTGTTGCTTACAAGCTAGTTGTCCTGTTAACGCAGAACTTAAACTAACTCTTACCTAAAATTAATATTATTATTAATTTGTATTTTAATATTTTCTTGATAAAAATATTATAACTGATACATTAACCCCTTAAGTTGTACGCTCAAGTTAACTCAAGCGGTGTTGTATTACGTTGAGCCAAAATTGTTCCTTAAGGGATTAATTTAAATTGATATTATTTTCTTTGTTTTATTTCTTGTTTCTCTTGTTGTGTATAAATTATTTTCAATACCTGTCCCGTAGTACTGGGAACATTAATAACATTGCCATGACTAATAACCCTTGATGGGATGGAAGCATTTAAAGAGATCCTCCGTGGTTGACCTTTCTGTTGTCCTATATTAGCTGGACTGCTATTTAGTAAACTAAGAATAGCTGCGTTACTTGATTTATTTGTAGTCTGTGCATTATTATTCATAGCAGCTGCTGCGGCATTAGCTATATGATGGAAGTATATGTATCAAATATTTTGTATAAGTTAACTTTAAGAGAATTATATTTGTTTCAAAGTAGAAGAAGAAGAAGATAAAATATTAAATATGTATATACCTGCAGCTTGTTGTTGAAATTGTTGAGCAGAATTCATAAGAGAAGTAACTAGGGCACTTATAGCTGGATTAGTAGTATGCTTTTTAAAAGATATCTCATTCTGATTCTGATTAACCGTTTCATTTATACAACTTTGCGTACCCGCTTGCAATTGAGCTTGCTGTAAACAAAATATTCATTGTAAAAATACAATTCATTTATAATTACATCACATGACTTATTATTTTTCAGGTAACTTTACCAAAACGGAAACGTTGGGAGACGATGTGTTATTGACAGCAGTAGCAGCTTTTTGTTGAAAAACTAATATTCCGGAGCTATTGCACGAGTTATTGTCAGTCACCGACATTGTAGATGTGTCAATTTGTATAGAACCGGATGGTGTACATCCACCATTAGATAAAGGTTGTCCAGTATTTAAAGTAGCAGCAGTATCATTTTGTGCAATAACTTGAGGCACATTTGTGATATCCATGTTTCCCAAATTATTTTGCACCGATGTTGTAGCTTCGGTCATGGCTTTCATCGATGCTACTTGACCGGCTAAAGTATTCAATTGTCCTTGTGCTCGGGACAAGATCTAAAATATTTCATTTGTATGATAAAAAATATCCATTTTAGATGAACATTTACATATGTTATATAAAAAACAAAGAATAAGATAATTAAAAAAACCTGTTGAGCTACGTGTTGGGATTGCGCTTGTTGTAAGTGTTGAGCCAACGCTACCTTCTGTGTCAACAAAAAAAAAAAAAAAAAAACAATATCATTATAAATTTTCATATAATTAAAATATACAATTTGAATTACATAATGAAAACATAATAAAACCTGTTGATGAGCTCGTTGCATGCCAGGAGTACATGTAACACGAGGCGTTTGTCCTGGTACTATATGTTTTATTCGAACATTTTTCCTACCTTCTTCAGTAAATATTTCAGTAAATTGTTGAATGTAATGATTTGCTGAAGCTCTTGTACCTAATACAAATCTATACAGGATAAACAAACAAGTTAAGTATTATGAATTCATTTATTCATATTAAAACAATCTTCATATATATTTATGATTGAAAATCAAATAACTTACCGACAAGCAGATCCATTTTTTTCTCCTTCTCGGTGATTCTTATCCATATAAAGCTCTCCCAGGTACTCAGAATTAGAAGGTCTTTGCAAAATTGAAAGCTTTATGTGATCTACTTCACCTTGGTTCCCGTTAGTTTCTAATATATACTCTTCTATAACTTGTGGCAGACAGTCTTTTGTTTCTCGCGGTCTCTCATATGCTTTCGCAAATCTATTTTCATAAAATATAATAATATTAATGTTTTATTTAATATAGAGAATGATAAATTGATAAAAAATAATATATTATTATATTACCTTAAAACATCAATCGGTGTAGTTGGAGGTGAAAGAGGAGGATTTAAAAGGGAAGGAGTCGGACAGGCAGTACTAAGCGGTGTTCCTCTTTTAGCACGTAACTTTTGCATTAAATCTTGTATTGTTAAACCATCCGGTTGTGCCAGTTGTTCTAATTTTCTTTTACGATTAACCGAAACCTAGAATTAATTAAAAAATATAAGTATTATTGTATCAATTGAATAAATTAATTGAATATTAATTCATAATAATAATGATATATTATGAATTATTATTATTATTATTATTATTATTATTATTATTAATACCTGAGAAAACTTTTTGGCTTGGCGCATTAATTGATGATCCGTAAGAAGGGCTTTAGAATGCCTTAGACGAGTTATAGCTATACCAGGAACAGGATTTGGATCTAAACATAAAGGTCCTTGAGTAGCTGCTACCAATTGCGATTCCAGCAACAATCTTTCCTCATGACTCCAATCTCCACCGCTCGTTAAAGTTGATACATCCGAAAGTATACTCTAATAATTCATTTGTATAATACAATTAGGTGTGTTTGTCTCTTTTTGATTGTTTTAATATCTACCTGAGTCGTAGGTTTAAGGAGTACATGATGAACTTCGGGTTTATTATGAGCAAATGATTTACGATGATCTCGAACTTCTGCTATTATGCAACCATCGTAGAATAAATGTGAATGATTAGTTTCTAACTGCTCTGCCAGCATTGCAGGCAACTGACCATTGTCTATGCATGAAAGCAATTCACCCTGTTCATAACCCATAAATTGACTTTTAGAAAGTACAGAATTTTTCTCGTACTGATTTCCTTTGTCAGAACTGAAAACAAAATATTATTATTTTTTTAATATAAATTATTAAAAATATAATATACTCTAGTAACACACAAAATATTGAATACATGTGTATTTAATCTCTTTGTAATATTAAATACACATGTATTCAATATTTTTCAATATTTTGTGCTACTATATAGGAATATTTATATAAATAAATAAATCAATCAAATAACATACCTATTTCTAACAGCTAATGAGTATCCTCTATTACCACAATGTAAATTAACAATTAATGTGTGCAAATTTTCTCTTTGCACTAACCGTCCCAAAAGATCACATTCATTTTCTAAATTGTTCTGTTTATAATCATTGTATATAAAATAAAAAGAAAATTATTTAATAATTAATAAATATAACATATACATATATATATAACGTAAGTTTTTTTATCGTTGTTAAATTAACATACCAAAACTGAGTCTGGTGTTGCATGAGGAAATTTGGATAATTCCTCAATATAAAGCCTTGTTAATTTAGCTTGAATGCTATGCTTAGAATGAGCATATTCTTTTTTATGCGACGTTAACAATTTTTCCGTAGTTAAATTTACAGAACCTTGTCCCTGTACATTTTGGCAATATCTTGATACATGATTTATCATTTCCTATATTAAATCATATTCATATGAAATTCATTAGGAATAGAATATACAGATAAAGATTAAATGAATATATAAATGTGTATATATATATATGTGTGTGTGTATGTATGATAGAGAGAGAAAGTTATAAAATATGTCAAAAGAATTGAAAAATTCTTTTAACCTGGGCCTGCCGACACGCATCTTCTAAACTACTAGGTGCACCAATCATTGTAGTTTATCAATGTTAAATCCACTTAATGTCATATCTGGTACGACAATATCCCATCACATTCTGAAAAAATAAATTCAAATTATACATACATATATATATATATAATAAATACAAGATATCTAAGATTTATCCAACCAAATTGTGTCAGAATATTCTATGAACAAATATTAACAATTTACTCAGTAATTGGATTATTATGAAATTTCCAATGAAATATGTTCACCTTTTTTGTTTATGCTTATATATGATGTTTATTATATTTCCAAACTGACTCAGCAAATATCAGTTTTTTTTTTTAAATATTTTTGTTTTGTTTTTTCTTATGGAATTTCAATCGATTTGACCAAAATATTTTCAAACCATTGATTTCCTTGTAAAAGAGTATCTTCAGTGTTGTTGTTGTTGTTTTTGAATGTGCATTCACAAATATGTGAATTAAACAATTTTATTTCATTTTAAAATGATTAAAGATTTGCATTCATTTAGGCAGTCAATATTACTTGAAATAAAATATTTGATAATGATTTATAATATTGTGTCATAATATTTTGTTAATACTTCAAATGACCTTTGTTTATGTAACAACATTTCTTTGTTTTTTCTTTCTTTCTTTATTTTCCTACATAGAATATGCTGACTCTGTTTAATAGGAAAAATCTCGAACACCCTGTATTAAAAACAAATATAAAAATATATTTATCAATATGTAAGACATTATTTAGAAAAAAAAAAAAAAATATTATTATGATAAATAATGTAATCATTAAAAAATAACAAACGTTTATCCAAATACGTTTGATTAATTTTAATTTCATGTGTTTTTTTTCTTTTTTTCTTTAATATTTTTTACAAACTTGTCGTTGATTCATTTTTATTTTGACTGTGTGTATTTTTAAGTGATCATATATAACAAAAACAAGGAATCATGTTAATATTACTAGAATAACATATGTAAAAGATTTTCCTTTTTAATTAATTAATTATTATTATTTGAATAAATTTAATTTAGTTTTTTTTTTCCCCATGCATAATAAATCACCATGAGTAGAATTTGAAATGAACATAATTATATTAATAATTGTTGTTATTTGTCTTCTATCATATTATTAAAAGTAAAATTGTAATTTTTTTCTTTTACATGACAAAAAATATGAAAATATTTATTTATTAATAATTATTTTATTTCTTTATTTATATTTGTGTGATACTGTTGGAAAACTTGATCCTTTTATGATTATGAAATATTAACTGATAAATTATATATTATTATAAGAAAAATAATAAAAAAAATCGTGGTCATGTTAATTATAATAAAAAACAAAAAAAAAACACAAAAATTGATGAATAAATAAAAAGATAATAAGAAAATGTATTTAAATAATAAAATCCTCGTAGAAATCGTTTTTTGAACTATCATTATCTATCTGATGAACAGTACGAATTCTAACTAAATGTCAAAACAAGCAGTCACACTAAATATGAGGTTAGGTGAATTTAAATTAATAAATTAGAGAATTAAATCTATTCGTATATATATATAATATATTAAACAATGATTTACCTTTAAAGTTCTTTAAAAATTGTTTAATTGTAAACATTGGACACAGGATGTAACGCGAGTCAATTTTCTTTTCATAACCTCACATTAACTAATAAATAACACACACTTTCTTCGGTTAATCGTAATATTTAATAATCAGTTCGGACACCTAAGTGAAATTGTTTGGATAAAATAAATAATATTTACAAATTACAAATGTCATATTCGGATATAGTGTGTAACCTATTATACAAACACCACAGAGGCACAGACTGGGAAATTGACCACATTTCTCTAGACTACGCATCCAATTCACATGCGCATTGGAAACATACTATATATATATAATATGCCATAGATATACTATATATATTATACTATATATACTATATATTCATATTTGATGTTACGAATTTTCTTATTTGAAACTTTCATCGTGATTGGTCAAACCTTGACAAAGTTTCATTTTCGTCCAATGGCATCGTTTATTTTTTCAATAAAACTATCCTTAGTGACATCTATAAAAAATTAAATTTTAATTTTCAAATAAAAAATTCATATAATTTTTTCAAAATTTCGTTTAGGTATTAAAGTTAAAAGTATAAGGATGAAAATAGGACGAATTATTAATTGAATTCTTTATAATTTCAAAATTAGTACCATCGATTCACTGTAGATAGCGCCAGCGTAGACTTACTCTCCTAACCTATTGGTCGATGCGAATCACAGTAATTAATGATCTATGGTATATAAGAAGACTAGTTTACAATTCAGCTAAAGTTTATATTCGATTCTATGAAAATAAATCTTAAATATAAACTCCTTTTATTATTTCTATCGAAGAGATATTTGTCGATCTGTCAAAGCGTGTTTTTGTTTTCATCTAACCGGGATTGAACGCAATAATAATTATTAAATATATTTGATATGAGTGACAATATTTAAAATATATATTACAAATATATAAAGTGATGATCTTGATTTCGTTTAATAAAATAAATTAAAGAAAAATTGAACAAAGAGAAAGAAAAAGAGAAAAATAGATATTAAAGAAAATATATAAATATCTAACCACAAAATGGTGCTAAATGATTGTCCAGATCCAGAAAGTATAGGTTGTGGTTTTAGTGCTTTTAAAGAAGTTGATGAGGTTAACGAATTGATTAAGGATATCAAAAGAACCGATTTATCATCAAGTTTAACAGAAAGAAACAGAGATCGGTTTAACTTCATATTGTCGCAGTATCAGGATCAACGACAACTACTTGATCCGTATCTTGAAAATATTTTAGATTCTTTACTGTCAATTATCAGAGATGACAATTCTACGGAAAGTATGAAACATAATGCTTTTAAATATCTATTTATTATTATGTCTGTTAAGACATACAAAAAAATTGTTACCTATCTTCCCCATGAGGTATTATTTTCTGTCAATACAGTTATGCATATTGAAATTTTGTTTATTTTTCTGATAAATTTGATATTCAATATAATTGTTATTTAGGTTGCAGATCTTTTACCAGTTCTACGTTTATTAGAAAAACAAGATCCAAATGATGTCGATACATGGGAAACAAGATACGTTTTATTAATATGGTTATCAATTATTTCTAAAATACCATTTCCATTATCTCGTTTAGAAACATCTGATACTATTGATCCAGAACAAACGATTATGGTTAGGTAATTATACTTTTCAATATTATAATTCTCTTTATTTTTATAATTTAGTATTTATATTGTATACGTAGTATCTAATACGTTGATCATTGTATAACTAAAATCTGAGTTATTGCTATGTTTTCATTAAGATCACATAACCTGTAATTTTATTTATAATATTATTAACAATTATAAGTACATTTCTAAGTAGAATAATATTATTTTACAAATGTTAGATTTGAACTGAAATATTGAAATGTATAAACAGTGATGTAGGATTTTATAATGAGTGTTTATAAATAAATAATTATGTATTATTTTTTTTTAGAATCATGAAAGTATGCAAATTATATTGTTTATCGAAGGATGCATGTGCAGTGGCAGCGGTATTTTTAATAGCAAATTTCTTGACCCGATCTGATGTCAAAAAATTGTATCTCGAAGAAATGATAACATGGTGTTTAAAGGTATGTCAAATAACTTAGACAATTTTCTATTTACTAGTTTAGTAATTTAGAATTATATATATTTATTTTAGTCAGTTGAAAATGATCCATTAAGACATGGTCCTTTGGCTGTAATAGCATCGATATTAAAACACAGTGCTAGAGAAGATGTACGACCATACAGTACGATGCTTTTTGAAAAAATATTAAAATTACAATTAAGTAATAATCCTGCAGATCTTATTAGAAAATTTGGTATGAAAGTTGTACAACGCATCGGTAAGAATATTTTACAAATTTAACAATTTATTACAAAGAATTATTTTCTTAAATAATAATTCAATAACATTTATAATTACATTTAGGTTTTGTATTATTAAGAACCAAATTAGCTTCTTGGAGATATCAAAGAATGAACAGACCAATCAGTTTATTACCAAGTTTAAGTAAAAACAATGGTACTGAAATTATTGAAAATAAAGAGAACATTATAAGTGATAACGAAGATCAAGAAATACCACCAGCCATTGAAGATATTATCGAACACTTAATTCAAGGTCTTAGAGATAAAGCTATCACTATCAGGTATATATAAATGAATTATATATTGTATTTTATTTATACATTTAATGTAATTCTTATTTTTTATTGATAGGTGGTCTGCTGCTAAAGGTATTGGTAGAATTACAGCCCGGTTACCAGTTGACTTGGCAGATGACGTAGTTGGATTTGTCTTAAATTTATTTTCTGGACGTGAATCAGATTCAGCATGGCACGGTGGTTGTTTGGCATTGGCAGAATTAGGTAAAATCAATAATATTTTTATATAACATGCTTTCTTTTATGTTGTTGTAATTAATACATGTATTCATTTTAGGAAGACGTGGTTTATTGTTACCTCATCGTTTAAGCGATGTAATTCCTGTGGTAATTCAAGCACTCGTTTTCGATGAACCAAGAGCTTACGGTTCAATTGGTTATTTAATCCGTGATTCTGCGTGTTACATTTGTTGGTCTTTTCCAAGAGCGTATGATCCAGATGTATTTCAACCTTACGTTAAAGAAATAGCAGCTAGTCTGTTAGTTGTAACATGTTTCGACAGAGAGGTAATTTGTTTAATAAATTTAATTCATTTAAAGATTACATTCACAATTATCAACTATAATATTTAGTATTATCAATTGGAAATAAATAAGATTAAAATTTGAAATAATTTTGTATCAAACACAGATAAACTGTAGACGTGCAGCTTCTGCAGCATTTCAAGAAAATGTTGGAAGACAAGGAAACTTTCCTCATGGTATTGATATATTAACGGTAGCTGATTATTTTGAAGTAGGTGTACGAAGTCACGCATTTCTTAAAATAAGGTATTTCTTGTTTCATAAAAAGAAATTGTCAATTTTGTAACTAATAATTATATTACTTGATATAATTTAATACTTTTCACACAGTGTACACATTGCTCAATACGAAGAATATACCAAACCTTTGATAGAACATTTGGTTTCAAGAAAAGTCACACATTGGGATACTGCAATTAGAGAATTATCAGCTAAAGTAATTAAGAAATGATTATAATTATTTGAATATTATCTTAGAAATATAACGTTTATATTATTTCAGGCACTGTTTAATTTAACACCAGCAGATCCACAATATATGATAGAAACAGTAATACCAAATTTATTGGATATGTTGAATTCAATTGATTTAAATGTCAGACACGGAGCTGTATTGGCTATCGCAGAAATATTAGAAGCATTGTATAATCATTACGAGAAAAAAATTGAAACAATAATTGGTATACAATATTAAACATCTAATTCAATGATATAATAATTGAATTGGAAAATAAATGAAAAACAAACAAATCATTAATATTTTTAGAATCATCAGCTGTGGATGAAATTAAAAATGTAATACGTACGTTTCAAAAACGTGGTCAATTTAAAGGTCTTGGAGGAGAACTGATGAAACAAGCTTGTGCAGTATTTATTAAAAAATGTTCAATCGTTCATTTTCCTATTCATCACACCGACATTATCGACGATTGGCAGAATTTATTGGAAGAATGTTTGAGTCATGAAGTATCTGCAGTCAAATTAAAAGCTGCCGAAGCTCATACAGATTTTTTTACCGAATATTACGCCAATTTGGATCCAGCTGTTTATAATATTGTAGTCAATCGTTATTTAGATAATTTAAAATCTAATAGTCAAGTAGTAAGGATAGGATTTGCACAAGCAGTAGGTGAGATAATGAACATTTATTTAATAATAATGAATATTTATCGAACAGATATATTACAGTTATTATTTTGATAGGACATTTTCCTCTTTTTATCAAAAAGACTAGAGTTAAGGATATTATAGAAGCGTTGATTGAATGTACGCACATATCTGACAATACATTGAAATGGGCAGAAAGTAGAAAAGAAGCGTTACATTCTTTAACTATGATAATACAAACATTAAATATTAACGAAGCTGGTTAGTATTTTTTAATAAACAATTAATAAACATGATTAATTATAGATCATACTTTTATTATACATCTTCTTCTTCTTCTTCTTAATATATATAAATTACGTGTCACGTTGTTTGTCCTCAATGGACTCCTAAACTACTGAATTTTGTTTTATTTTTACAGGTGTATGGCAATTATTTGCTCCTCAAATTTACAATTGTTATCTTTTTGCTTTAAAAGAATATACAATAGACAGTCGTGGTGATATAGGTGCTTGGGTACGAGAAGCAGCTATGACTGGTTTGCATGTAAATATAATACAATTTGTTTTTCTATATTATCATTATTCGTAATAATTAAAATAATAAATATATAATTTGTTTGTTTTTTTTTTTTTTTTTTTAAGGTTCTTACTAATTTAGTTCTTCAAGCTAATTTATTATCTTTGTTAAATGAATCGTTAATGACAAATATTATAAGTGGCATTGCTCAACAAGCTGTTGAAAGAATTGATGGAATTCGTGCTCAAGCTGGTATTGTATTCAGTGCTTTGATTCACAGGTAAAATTTCGTATATTAAAAATAGATATTTGTTGTATTTTAATAATTAATTGATGTACATTGTTTACATGTATATCAGTGAACCTTCGCTTCCAAATATTCCATATCACACCGAACTTAAAAATATATTTCCTTTGAGCGAATGTAAAGACAGTATAGAATGGAGAATGGAATCAGTTACGTTTCCACGATTCATCAAAATGTTAGAATTTCCACCATACACTATGAGTCTTTTAAGAGGAATTATATTCAGTGTTGGTGGTTTAAGCGAATCTTTAGTAAGTACTTTGTAATATTACATAAATAATATCAAAATTCAACTAAATTATAAATAAATATTTGTATACATAGGTGAAATATTCTAGCGTGGCTTTGTTCACTTATTTGAAAGAGATAAATGAAAAAAGTCTCAAAGACTTATGCGACAAGATGTTAATCATATTTGAAGAAAGTCATAAGAATGAAAGAATGATAACATCGATATTAGCATTTTTGGATAGATTATTAAGTTCAGGATGTATACAAATAATTTTAGATGATCCTAACAGCGATATACCTGAACGTATATTATTATTATTGAAACAAGAGATTAAATATACTACTAGCACTAAATTGTTGATAAGTAGCATCAATGTTTTTTGTCAACTTTTACAGGTATGTATGTTAAAACGTAATCGCAATGTACAGTATTATAATGTAAAAATTGAAAAACATTATTTTTATTTATAATTAAAATATTATTATTATTATTTTTTTTTTAAATTATTAATTGAACGTTTCATATTTATTTGTCTAATATTATTAAATAATAAATAAATATATATATTTATATTTTAAATTATATTATAATAATATATTTTTATTATTTATATATTTTATTAATAAATATTTTAATAATATAGTTATTATATCTATAATATTATATTATAAAAATATATATAAACATATTTTATTTATATTATAAATATAATATATATATATATATATATATATATGTAATAAATATAATTATTTATACAGGTGCACGGATTTATAGGAAAAAGAGCGTTTTGTCAATTAAGTATATTTTTATGTCACAAATACAAATGTTTACGTAAAGTAACAGCCATACGTACTTATGAAACATTGACACTTTACGGAGAAGAAATGGATTTACCTGAAGAAGATTTAGCGAGTATATTAACAGAATTAAATGGCACAGATTGGGAACGACCAGTAACTGAATTAAGGCCTATTAGAAATCATTTGTGTGAATTAATGAAAGTGCCTGCACCAGTTTTACAGGCTAAATCTACTAATTAATAGTAATAACATTGATATAGATAAAAAAAAAAAAAAAGTACTAATACTCAGGTGAACAACTTATTTTCTATTATACATTTTACGATTTAAATATTATACACATACATACATACATACATACATACATTTGAATGTAAGTTAATTCATTTGAGTGATGATATTAATCGTCAAATACCAAATTACAATTTACACAGATCTCAAAATACAGGGCTTATAAAATAAAACATTCCTGTTTTGCAAGAGACATTGAAATATTGAAATACATTTTTTTGTTTTGTTTTTCATTCATCTTCATAGCATCAATCGTTTTTTTTTTTTTATATATTTAAATAACACAGTTATAATAGTTTGTTTGTATTTATAATTTGTTAACAATCATTTTTGTTATATAATAGAAATGTTTCATTATGAAATTGTTCAATAACAATTGTAAGATTATTTAATACGTAATGTTGTAACAATTTAGCAACACATTTTTCTAAGTTCCATTGAGATACCCAAAAATTATTTTCATTAACATTACCCGATAATAAATCTATCGGTAAAGGACAATCATAATGTTTTTTCGTAATTATACTAGTTTCATTATTTATTTGAATATTATGTATTTGTTTGCAAACGTAACATTCAAAATCTTCAACGTAATAACCAAAATGATGCATCTCCTTGGCAGGTATTTTATTCAATACATTTAATAATTGATCATTCGTTAATCTTTCTTCCTCTTTTCCAATTTTATGAATTAAATATTTTTCATATTCCATATCGTTATTTAATAAACGTAACAAATAGTCAGCTAATTCTTTAGGTTTATCAAAATCTAATACTGAAATTGCAGACATGTTATTTGGTAACCAATCCTAAAAATGAAAAAGAAACAAATATAATATATTAACATTTATTATATATTATTTAATATATATATATATTAATTCTTAGAAATATTATTTTTTTTCTTTTTGTATAAAATTTACCTTGAACGTAGGAGATCCATAATAAATGGGTACAGAACCCACGACGAGTGGTCTCCAAAGTTTTTCCGTAATATAATCATTGCAAACTGCATTCTCAAAAGCTAATGTAAATTTATATTTTGCCACAAATGATAAAAACTCGTCGCTATTTAATTTATCCAAATAATTACTTTTCAACCTATACAAATGAAATATTAGTACGATATTAAACATTATGTACAGTGAATTGATTGGTTTAACGAATATAATTTGTTTGAAGATAATGTTTGTTATACAAATTATTTGTTAATCGAGTATCCACTGTACTACTCTTGTTTTCTTATTAATTTAAACACAAACTAAATTATAATATTATAAACAAAATATATACCTTTCATCAAGACGAGCATTATTTATACACAAACCATAAGAATCTATTTTGATGTATTTCATTAATTCCAAAATATATGAGTCTCTATTAGTGGCAGTATTACAATCCGATTGAATATACAGTAACGGTGCTAAATTTTCAGTTTCTATCAAATTTGTTTTTTCTTTAGTTGATAGAAAATATTTCATTCCTATACAAATTTCATATTAATGTTTAAAAATAAATGCAAATGTCTTTTTTAATTTAATATACAAAATGTCTGAGTTTTTTCAATGGACGAAACTGTGTTCAAACTGTGAACCAGTTTAATGATCAAAAGACACCCTGTATATTTTTCTACAATATTTTTTCGATAATTACCTAAGAGTTCTTCTTTACTAGGTAAATCAACAGAATAAAGTGGCACGTTACTGAATCTACTGAACGTTGATGAATAATTAAAAAGATTTAATGCTTTTTCATGAACAAACATAGGATTATTTCTAGGAGATTCTTCATTCATTAATCCCCATTGAACTAATGGTGATCTCCAATTTGGTAAATCGTTTATTTGAACATTACTTCCGTAGAATAAAATTGCCTATTAAAATATATTTATTATTATTATTATTATTATTATTAAATTTATAAATTAAATTTTTCTTTATTATTTAATTATAAGAAATGCAAACAAATTCAATTCAATATTATTAATTATATTATTATTTTATTATTATATATATTATATTTTTTTATATAATATTATAATAATATTATTATATTATTTATTTTATTTTATATATATATATATATATATAAATACCTTCAATTGTGAGTTATGTTCGTAAATACGATTATATGTAAAATAACATTGATAGTATCCACATGTTTTTGTCACATCATTACTACCAAATGGTGTCCACCATAATATCACAGGTATATTATCTATATAAATATATAATTTATATTTATTTGTTGTTTTTTCCTATTAATTAATATTATATTATAAAAAAAAAAAATAGTTTATATACATAATGAATTATTTACCTTCCTCATTTAAAAGTTTGGCTTTATGAAATAAACATAGCTGAAAGTGAAATAGATTTGAATTAATATTTTAATTTTATTCATTGTATTCTATTGGTAAAATTCATTATTCAAATATACAATGTTATTTGAATAGTTTTCATTCATTCATTCATTCATATATATATATATATATATATAAATACCTGAATTAATAAAAGAAGTATTCCTAATACAAATATAAACTTCGTTAAAGTACGTATTTTAAAATTCATTTTTGTTTGTTTGAAAAATTTTTTTGTTGTTGTTTTTTTTTTAATTTAAATTAAATATATAAATGTGTATTTATATACGCATATAAATTGTTACATGATTTATTGTTTTTTGTCTTTTATTCAAGACACATCATCATTTATTATCATACATATGATATTACTATCAACCTTTATCATTATTTGTAATTAAAAGAAAATATATATATATATATATATATATATAATAATAATAATAATAAGATAAAACAGACGGATTATTTGAAATAAAATAAACTTTTTGAATTAATGAACTTTGATCTACATATCAGCAAAATCAAATCTAACATTAACATATATTGATTATTTATAAATAAAAACCAGGAACTGAACGATTAAATTTCATAATACATTTACTCTTTTTAATTTTATTGTTTAGAAAATTTATTAACAATTCATCTGTTGAGAATGACATCATAAAAGTTGTCATTTTCTTTTGTATAGCATGGATTCAAACATATAAAATGTTAATTACGAATATTATGTATTTTATTAAATATTATATATATGTATATATATTTTAATCTTTACATTACTTTGGTATGATAAAAAATAATTGAAAAAGTCTATCAAGATATAATCATATTTTAAAAAATTTCTTTGTTTTGACAGAAACTGTCAAGAAAAAAGTTAGGTTACATTTTTATATATGTAGATGTGAATACGTCATAATAAAAATGCACGTGACGTGTACAGTGTCTCTCTCTAGCGTGTTTTCGAAGAAACTACAAATTCAAGATGGTTGAACGTAATACGTTAAAATTAAAATATTGATTTTTTTATTTTAAATTTTAATATCAAAATTAATATAAAATAATAATAATAATAATAAATTAATTTAAGATATTTTTAATATTAACATATTTATCTTTAAGTATTATTAATATAAGATAGGGATAAACGAAGATTGCGCCATCTATTCATAGAACAAACATACAATAGGCTTATCTTACTATATCGTATGTAACATTCACAGTCGTACATGATTCAGTGTGTTTACACGTATTACCAAATATTTTATTATTTTGTTTAAAGTAATATATTTATATATTACTTTTATAATTGTGAAATAGCATAATTGACGAGAGAAATGATAATTAATGATTATTCAAATTCATTAATAAGATAGCATCGCAGAAATGACACCAAAACGCAAAGTAAGTGTTTATGTTTACCAATATCCTCCATTGTTTTTATTTTCAATCTATACCATTGTTATCTTTTTTAATAGACAACACTTGTTGTTAAGATTGTTTTTAATTATATAAAAAAATGAATAATATTAAAATAATTCATGCATATAATATTGTTTTTGGTTTTGTTTGTTCTTTTTTTTTTTTTTTTATGAACACAGACTACGAGTTCTGAATCAACATCATCGTCAAGTTCTGGCTCTTCGTCTAGCAGTTCTTCAAGTTCTGGTAGCGAATCCAGTTCATCAGATTCCGAAAATTCAAGCAGTTCGGCTAACAGTCAAAAAGCATCAGATTCAGAAAGATCCAAGAAGAAAGTACCATTTTCTCAGGCCAGACATGTTAAATCTAAAACTGAACCAACGCCAACAACAACGGCAGAAAATAAAAGTAAGGAGAGACAGCAACCTAAATCTAGACCGGTAGTTTATTCTTCGGAATCCGAAGAATCACCTAGCAAATTGAAACCCATGAAAAGGAAATTACCTGCTAAGCCTAAAGCTACAGCAACCATATCACCTGTAATTAAAGTTACTAAGTCCCCTATAAAACCATCGTCTAGCATTACCCAACATAAAAATGTTTTAACCGTTAAATCGAATGCTAAACAAGTCAAGCTTTCAGGTAATTGTAAAGTAATATTTTATTTATTAATGTAACAATTATAATGAAATAGTTTTAATTCAATTCAAAATATAGGAACTTCAGGAACGAATGTAAAAGTATCGGATAAGAATACCAAACTACCATTGGAACCATTGCAAAAGAAATTTAAAAAGAAGAGTATATTTAGTCCAGAAAATAGTAGCGAAAGTGACAATTCTTCTGCACCAAAAATTAATGCAATTAAAGCGGCTAACAATAACGTCAAATGTAACAAAACTCAACCCAAGATGAAACCCGCCGAACCCAAATTAAAATCTACCGTACCAACAAGACCAGGTAATTATATTTACAATCTTTCTTTTTTGTTATTCCATTTAAATAGAAAGATTTTCAAATGAATTTGTTTCTCTGCATTGCAGCTTTAGTAGCTAAACCTCCACAAATCCAAAAATCTGATAGTTCCGTCAGTTCCAAGAGTTGTTCAGGTGGATCAGGTTCTTCTGGTTCAACGGATAGTAGCAGCGATTCAGATTCATCGGAAAGTGCCACTAGTCCACAATCTCAACCTAAAAAGAAAGAAATTCCGCCACCAGTAGCACAAAATATTGCAACAAGTGTGCAATCTAAAAGACCATCTACAACAGCTTCACCAGCTAAACCTTTAAAATGTACAAAGAGACAAGGTATTATATTTATAATTCATATAATAATATTAATTATCGAATAGTCTGAATTAACAATTATATTTCATTAGTCAGTAGAATAAAAAGCGAAGACGATGGAGATGCATCAGCCAGTGACAAAGAAATAGATGAAAACATTGATGTGAATCCTTCAAAAGGAACAGTTAGAGGAAAACGAAAATTGCAGACTCGTAAAGGAAGCAAGTTGTTACAACTGCAAACGAAAGTTGCCAGTGATTCGGAATCTGACACAGGTATAGTAATATAATTTACCTATTGCATTATACTAACTGATGATAATTGTTTTTGTATTTTTCTTGTAATTCTATGCAATTATTTTCTATTGGCTTTCTATCAACTTTTCTTAGATTAACTTAATAATTAAATAATATATTCTACGCTTTTCTATCTATAAAAACAGCATGCTTATTAAATTATCATTTGAAATAAAATATATGTAACAAAACAAAAAAAAAAGGAATTTGTGCAGTAGATAAAAGCATGATCAGAGTTTGAAAAGAAAAAAAAAAAAGAAAACATAAGGGTAGAATATAATTTGTTAGGGGTGTGAATACATAGGACTCTATGCTGCCCCCTTAACACAAAAAAACAGTATTTGCGGTAATGGATGAGTGGATAAATTGGACATATTTAAATCATCGCTATCGTAGGATTCTCTGCTGATTCGATTTGGAAAAATGTTTTGTATTTGAAACTAGCGCATGTCCAAAGTGTCCTAAGATGCAGATACAGTCTTTTTGCTTATGGCGGCAGTATGGTTCTCAGGTATGGAAACGGTAGAGCGTAAACGTATCCTGCAAATTCCACTGATCCGGTGTGATTTATCGGGAGTAGCTGAGAGCAAGAGAAGTACGAGCAAGTCACCGGTTAAGCGTGCTGGTCCTAGCCAAGGTGCCAGACATTCGACATCCACAACAACGACCAATAGAACAACGCAGAGTGCTACAACTGGGTCTTCCAATTCTGCTGCTGCTGCTGCTGCTGCTAATAGAACCGGACAAAATTCATACAATCGTACACGTACCACCACCAAGGAAAGAGAATGTCCATTGGCGGCTTGCTGTGATTCACGTGGTCATCTTTCTGGAAAATTCGACACACATTTTACATTGGAAGCTTGTCCCTTGTATCACAATACTACACCACAACATTGCATGTAAGATAAATCAAATAAAAATCTTTTATTATTGTAATATTATTATATATATATATATATTTATTTATTAATTAATTTGTAGAGAATTTTATAAAGAAAGAAAAAAGAAGGAAGATGAACGTAAGAAATCAATTGCCAATCTTGCCAAGAAATCACCAAAAGGTGGACATCAGACTACGGAACAACGTAATTATCAATTAAAAGTTCGAGAAATGAGAAGCAAATGGAAACCTCATACGGGTGAAGATAATGGTAGTGATAGTGGTAATGATCTTCCTGGAAATGAAAAGAACAAACAACCACGTTTGACAAATCTAACATCTGATTACGATTTGAAATTATTCATGGAAGCTCAAGCTACGTCCAGCGAAAAAATTGTAAATAATATTTATTTTTATATTGTAATCTGTAAAAAAAAAAAAAAAAAACAAATCTTTTTATCACCATTTTAAATGTAATTTATTCGATAGGAAAAGGAATTGAAAGAATTGGACTACGACGGTGATGGTAGAAACAGCGGTGGTACTCGTTGCATCGAAATGGGTAAATGGGAAATGGAAGTATGGTATCAAAGCCCATATCCTGAAGAATTTAGTCGTGCACCTAAACTTTATCTTTGCGAATATTGTCTGAGATATGCTAAGAGTCGTCAAGTGTTGAGAAGACATCGAGAAAAATGTTTATGGAGACATCCACCAGGACATGAAGTATACAGGTTGATATTTTATTTATAAATCAAATAATTCAACATATCTTTATACTGTAATAATAATATACATTTGTTATTGTTTTGAAATTTCAGAAAAGATAAAATCGGTGTCTGGGAAGTGGATGGTAAACGTTACAAACAATATTGTCAAAATCTGTGTCTCCTAGCAAAGTTCTTTTTGGATCACAAGACCCTTTACTACGATGTGGAACCTTTCCTCTTCTACGTGATGACCATTGGCGATTCTGAAGGATGTCATACGGTTGGTTACTTCAGTAAGGTGAGTCAAAAACAAAATATCATTTATATTTAATAATTATGAAAACGTTTTTACAAATTATTTCTATCAATCAATCAATCAAACGCGTGATATCTGTCTCATAAATCAATGAAAAAAAAAAAATCTTACCCTGTTCCATGTGATTTTATTTTTTATTATATTTAATAAGATTAATAGTTAAAAATAATAATTAAAAAAAGAAAATAAGAAATGATGTTTAACAAATATGTTGACAAATTTGATTGATAAAATTGTTTGATGATAAATCGATATTCGTGGAAGAGTCTTTGATCTTTCGAAATTCCAAAGTTCATAGTCCGTATAAATTTAGAGTGACCTTTGACCCTGGGAAAACGCCCTCTTCTCTCTCTGTTTCTCTTTCCCTCTTTCTATCTTTCTCTTTCGTCCCCAGACGTTCCGGAATTTTCTGCAACCCCTTAAAGGAAACACTTGGCAGGTTTCTAATTTGTTCTCTCGAATAAAATCGTATTAAAATAATCCTTATTTTTAGATTAAAAATATTATTTATTTATTTAATTGAAATATAAATAAAAAAGAAATATATATATATATATATATTAAATTAAATATATTATAATATATATTAAATATTATATTAAATTATATATATATATATATATATAATATAAAATTAATTAATATAAAATAAATATTATATAATATTTATTAATATATATTATTTTATAATATTTTATTTTATATTATAAAAATAATATATATATATATATAAAATATATATTATATATTTATTAATTTATATTATAATATTTTTTATATAGTTATATATATTTATATATTTAATTTAAATATAAATTTTCTTCTTTTCTTTGATTTACATCAAATGTCTGATCATATTCGTATTTGACTACTTAAACGTAGAAATCTTACGAGAAGTTTCTTTTGCGAGCATGATTTTCCGCTCAAAACGATAATATATACCGGGTGTTCGTGAAATTAGTTTGATCGATGAAAATCAAATGAAAAAATATTTTACAAATATAAATGTGTCGTTTAAAATTTTCATATTCAATATTTGACATTTATTTTAGAAATTGCATTGTAGTATTGGAAAATTATTTTGAAACGTTTTAACGAATTTAGAATCGATGACAATTTTAACATTTTATTTTTGTTGAATTTGAACGATCACAATGCCAAAGAAGATATTTTCACAAATCAAAATTGAACGAAAATAACTCGAAGTTCAATTTATTTTCGATTTATGCATCAACAATTATTCAAAATGGTTTCATTTCCTCTTACAAATGGTGTCAACATTTTTACAATTATTTTGAAACGATTATTTTAAACAAAAATTAAGGTTATTTAATATTTGTTTCATAAATTGTTCATTGACAAAATATTTAAATGACATCTAATGTTTGTGTAACATAATTTTTATTTCATTATTTTCGCGTGAATACAAGAATTCACTGACACTGTTTAGTCGGAAACATCTCAGACACCCTGTATAAATAAATATATATATATATCGAGGGTGTAGGGTCGAAATCTTTGCAGACGTTCATCGACCTTTGACCCCGACTGGGCTCGCGACCTACTATAGCGTTGGGAAGGGTTGATGAAGTTTTACATTTCGAAATCAATACCATTCACTTTGATGTAATACTATTTCAAATCGATCATTAACGTTCCTCTAATAATATCTAACTTATATATATATATTCCAAAAAAGGACAAGCAAATATTTCTTTTCACATAATACTCACACAAATAACAGAATTCAAATTTTAAAACAATTCATCAAATAAATTTCAATCTGATAAACTTTACTTTTTAAGAGTAACCCTAATCTATTTCTTTATCAAATCCAATTAAAAATCTTCTTAAGTTAAATAATAAGATAATTGTCAATATTAACACCCAGTATAAAGGGGCGTACCTCATAGGATTCCTATAGAACAAGTAAAAGGTAGAAGTAGTAATAAAAGTTATAGAACTTAAATAATAGTATTAATAGTAACGAAAGTAATATATATAATCATCATAAATATCATCAGTAACAACAACAACAACAAAAGTAGTAGAATCAGTAATAAGAGTATCAAGTTAGTAGTTGCAGTAGTAACAAGAATTATATTACATAACCTAATAAATAATAGAATTAATAGTAATAGAAGTAATATATAACATCAGTAAGAACAACAGAAGTAGTAGAATCAGTAATAGGAGTATCAAACCAATAGTTGCAGTAGTAACAACAACAGAAGTAGTAGAATCAGTAATAAGAGTATCAAGATAGTAGTTTGCAGTAGTAACAAGAGCTACATAACCTAATAAATAATAGTATTAACATTAATAGAAGTAATATATAACATCAGTAAAACAACAACAGAAGTAGTAGAATCAGTAATAGAAGTATCAAGTTACTAATTGCATTAATAACAAGAATTATATAACCTAATAAATAATAGTATTAATAATAACAGAAGTAATATATAATCATCAGTAACAACAACAAAATTAATGGGAATATCAAACTAGAAATTGCAGTAATAACAAGAATTATATAATTGAATAAATGATAGTATTAATAGTAACAGAAGTATTATATAATCGTTAGTAACAACAACATAAGTAGTAGCATCAATAATAGGAGAAGTATCAAGCAAGTAGTTGCAGTAGTATCATGATCATCAGCAGTAACAGCAGTAGGAACAGGAACAGGAGCTAGGAGCAGTAGCAGTAGCACCGCCAAGTCAAAATCTTTATAGACGTTCAACGACCCCGACCCTGGCCAGACAGTCGGTCGGGGAGGTTGATGGTGGTGGTTGCTGGTGAAGCTGGGTAGTAGGGTGGTGGGGTTGTAATATACTGGTAGTAGTAGTAGTAGTAGTAGGAACGAACGAACAGGAATAGAGTGGTGGCTGGGATAGGTAAAGAGTGGTGAAGGGTATGAAGGGGGTTTGCTGAGGGGGGTTGCTGAGGGATGACGACGAGGTAGAAGAGGAGGAAGAAGAAGAAGGGGTAGATGCGGTGGCAGGCAGGCAGGGGTGTATCAACGAGGGTGGTGGCCGTGGGGTTCTTGCGTACGTAGGCAACGTACGCTATCAGCCTCCGGCGTTAGTGGTGGTGGTGGCAATGTTGGAGGTAAAAGAGGAGGATGAGGAGGGAGGGGTGGTTGGTTGCGTCGGTGACTGCAACGACGGGGGATGCCATGCCGAAAGGGCCATGGGCTCTGTCAGAGGGAGTCAAGGGAAGGAGTTAGGGGCGAGAGGGCGTCGCCTCGTGTCGGGTCGTCAACCTTTCTGCTGCGGCAGTGCGACGTCGGGCTCGTTATTATTTCCTCTCCTGCTACTGCTGCTGCTACTACTACTATTGGTTGTGGTTGTAGTGGTTACTATACTACTACTGCTACTACTACTACTACTACTACTACTACTATTGCTACTACTACTGCTGCTACTACTGCTGAGACTGCTATTTGGGTTGCTTCAGAAAATTCGATGACACAATTTTTTTTTTTTACTACTGTATTACTTCTACTTCATTCAAACGTTCTTGTTTTTTTTTCTTCTTCTTTACTTTTTACAGATGTATATAGATGTATATTTTTTTGGTATACTCTTGTGAAAAATGTTGTTGGTACCGTTAAACGTTGGGTTTAACTTTAATATGTCAGTGTGGTCAGTTTTTAGGTTAGTTATATTTGTAATATTGGTTTTCAAATTCGAATATTATTGAACATATCTATATATATTTGTGTGAGGGATGATTATGACAAAGTAAGTCGATCAAAAATTAAAAACATTTCTATCATCCTTTATTTATAATAATCAATAATTTATTTCTATAAAAAAAAAGAAACAAATATTATAAAATTAATTTTTATTATAATTAACTTCACACTTATTACTCAACAAAAATAATACATTTCAGTATTCCAAATTAATAATATATTTGATTAATCAATTGAATTTATTTATTAATATTTATTTTAAGAATTTATTTAAATTTTTATATTTTAATATTTAAAGTAATTATTTTGATTTAATTTTTAAAATTGGTATATATACAGTAATTAGTGGTGAGGAAAAATGTGAAATGGTGGGGATAAGGATTTTGTTATTAAAAAAGGAGTGGGGGTAAGGGTGGAGAGTTTTACGTAAGAAGCAGAATTCATCGTCAACGCTGCGTTGGCAATTTATTCGTCTGCAAATACAATACGACTTGTGTATCTCTCTGTATTTTTGTACACGTACACACACATATACGTATGCATGGCCGTTATGCATCATAGTATGTGTATTAGTTAGTGTGTACGTGTTAGTAAGTTTTCAGAAACGCGCACGAAAATCCGGTAAAGCCCCGCCGTCCGTAGCCGGAAACGAATTTACGCTCAAGTTCGCGCTCGTAGACCGTTTAAAAGAGTCAAAGGGAAAGGGAAAGGGAGAAAATGAGAGAGAGAGAGAGAGACAAAGATAGGAGAAGGGCACATCCTTTACGATTGTTCAGATTTATTCTTCCTTAACAATTTATTTCTCTTCTTTTTTTTTATATTATTCTTTTACAATAATTAGTCGCATGTAAAAACAATAAAAAAAAGAATTAAATTGTTATTATAAATAATCTTTTTTTTTATCTTTTATCAATCGAATATAATTTTATTTATTTAAAAAAAAAAAGGAACAATATATTAAGCGTGCAACTTTGTTTCCGCTATTTTCCTACAGATGGCTTATAGAAAAAAAAAATGGCGGAGCCTAATATTATATTCGAAAATATTTCATCGTAATAATATAATATAAAAATGTATGAAAACATTTTCGAATATGATAATTAGATTATTTTAATAAACGAACAATAGTCTGTACACAATTTATTCGTTAAATTTAATAGAAAAAAGAAAAAAAGAAAGAAAAAAAGATGGTCTTAAAGAATAAGAGACACTTCGTCGGACACACCACGCCCAAATGTTCGATCGATATTTGCAAGTTTCTTGCTTAAAGCTTCATTTT